CCTTCACAACACATGCACAAATCATAGAGGGATGTGACAATTGGAGTGACAGATGAACAATGCTCCCATTTTCCAGCCCCCTGTGAACAGGCCCATCCATCACAGTGGGGGAGATTAATTCAATTCATCAGCTTTTTGTCTCCTTGGGCCCCCCTAATGCCACCTGATATTGCTCAGAGGACTTCTAAATGTTTGTGAATTTGATCTGTGCTCGCTTGCCTGACACTGAATTAAAACGTTACTTCTCTTGGCGGTACACTGGGTTTGTGCCAGCAGGCTGACAGTCACTTCTGCCATAATTCAGACCAAGATGAATTTGTGAGAAATCGAAAACATTTGCCAAAGGCTTCCAACTAGACCCTGAAATAAAGCTTTGGAAGGTAGATTTGATAACAGGTCATAAAACAGACGTGGATTTATGGAAAATAATTTTAGGAAAAGCTGAACATTTAAAAAAAACGAAATGATTTAGAACCCTTTGTTGTGTTTGAGCCATTTAGATACAATGAGGTCATTTTTATTTTGTTTGGGCAGTTTTATATCTGCTGGGCAATAAATGGCAAAAAGCTCCACAAACAGTTTTGTGGCAGTTTGCCAAAGATCCACTCCTTGATTAAATAAAGCTTACATCATTTCGAAGGCTTCAGTGTCAGCGTGAACATTTAAAGGGAATAAAACTTGACGGGTGTGGGCCATTAAATTGGCAGGAATAAAAATTTCGCAGCAGACTGAAAAATGGCCCATACAGCAATTTTTTACTAAGGTTTAGATATGGCAGTCATGACATCTAGTGGCTTGTAGACTAAATGAAAGCCGAAATGGAATCGAGAACCAACAGAAAAGGCCAAAAATGTACAGGTGCTAGTCATAAAATTAGAATATCATGAAAAAGTTGATTTATTTCAGTAATTCCATTCAAAAAGTGAAACTTGTATATTATATTCATTCATTACAAACAGACTGATATATTTCAAATGTTTTATTTTAACGTCAATGATTATAACTGACAGCTAATGAAACCCCCAAATTCAGTATCTCAGAAAGTTAGAATATTGTGAAAAGGTTCAATATTGAAGACACCTGGTGCCACACTCTAATCAGCTGATTAACTCAAAACACTTACAAAGGCCTTTAAATGGTCTGTCAGTCTAGTTCTGTAGGCTACACAATCATCAGGAAGACTGCTGATTTCAGTTGTCCAAAAGACGACCATTGACACCTTGCACAAGGAGGGCGAGACAAAAGGTCATTGCTAAAGAGGCTGGCTGTACACAAAGCTCTGTGTCCAAGCACATTAATAGAGGTGAAGGGAAAGATGTGGTAGAAAAAAAAAGTCTACAAGCAATAGGGATAACTGCACCCTGGAGAGGATGGTGAAACAAAACCCATTCCAAAATGTGGGGGAGATTCACAGAGTGGACTGCAGTCAGTGCTTAAAGAACCACCACGCTCAGATGTATGCAAGACAAGGGGTTCAGCTGTCGCATTCCTTGTGTCAAGCCACTCTTGAACAAGAGACGGCATCAGAAGTGTCTCGCCTGAGCTAAAGACTAAAAGAATTGGACTGCTGCCGAGTAGTCCAAAGTTATGTTCACTGATGAAAGTACATTTTGCATTTCCTTTGGAAATCAAGGTCTCAGAGTCTGGAGGAAGAGAGAGGCACAGAATCCATGTTGCTTTAAGTCAAGTGTCAAGTTTCCACAGTCAGTGATGGTTTGGTGTGCCGTGTCATCTGCTGGTGTTGGTCCACTGCATTTTCTGAGGTCCAAGGTCAACGCAGCCAATTACCAGGAAGTTTTAGAGCACTTCATGCTTCCTGCTGCTGACCAACTTTATGGAGATGCAGATTTAATTTTCCATGTTCATACTTTTCAGTTGGCCAACATTTCTGAAAAGGTTTATTGGTCTTATACTTTTGAGATACTGAAGTTAAGATTTTAAGTCAGTTTGAATCAAAATAAAATTTGAAATCTAGTGCAATGACCATACAAGTTTTACCTTTATAATAGAAAAACAGAAATAAATCTAAGTTTGTGATACTCTGACCAGTACCTGTAGAAACAAGGTGCCTAAACTTAACTTGTGTATTAGTCAAATTTGCATTGGGCCTCTTTAAGATAAAGCACCAACAGTTTTGCATCAACAAATCCTTGAATGCATAGAGTTTTTATTTTAGTCCTGACTGGATCTCCCTGAAAGTTACACCTTCATTAGGAATGCTTGGAGATGTTAATGGAGCAGAGTTACCCTGCAGTACAGAGTCAACACAAGCCTCACAAAGACAATCACACCACATTTGCACAAGCTGGCATTTAATTTAAAATTTTAAACAGTTTCCATTTATAATCTTTAAACAGTTGCAGAACAAATAAATATCAAGTTAGTGTCACGTTTGCAGTACAGATGCGTTGAATTTTTAGCACACTTCTTTATTCAAGCATAAACCCTCTGAGGCTGATAGTGAATCCTGCCTCCTCTCCAGATGCACAGGTAGTAGGCAGTACCAAGAGATCCAACCAAAGACATCAGCAGGATGATGGTCACCAGGACAATTTTCCACACTTTGGAGTCGTGTACTTCACTGCGATCTGGGGGGAATAAAAAAAAAAAAAAATACATGTCAATTTAAATGTATATACCTTGTTGCAATAGTGTTCAGCAGATAGAAAACTCCCTAATAACCCACCTTCACCCAGAAGAAGATAAGACTCCGGAGTGGTCTGCAGAACCTGGACCACCACAGTCTGCGGTCCAGCTGTTCCTGTAGAATTTACAGGAAACAGGTTTTCCTGCAGCAATGGAGGGTCATCCTCATAATTTGCTTCATCAGAATTATCTAGGTCATGAGGGTTTTCAACATCCGTCATCCAACGGCCATTGACATAGGTAGGAGTGTCTGAAGAATTAAGAAAGTTAGGTAACGAAACAAATAAAACTCACAATTGTTTGTATGTTTTACCTGCAAAAACATGTGGTACGGCCAAAAAAGCCAAAAGCACTAACTGAAGCACAAACATCTCTGTATCCCTTGATCTGCTGCTTCTTCTCTGCTTTTTATTGGAGGCCTCATCAGCAGAAGTGGTATCAGCTGTGCTGACTCCATCAGGACATCTTTGGTCTATTTCTGAGGGCTTTTTCATTGGTTCAGTTGATAATACTGATTTTCTCTAAAATTGTTCTTTATATTTTACAGGCCTCTCGTGTACGAGTCCTTGATGACACTAACCTGTATAAATAAAGGTTGAATGAATGGAACCAGGTTTATGTTGCCACTTGGACTCATCGTGGAAAGATGTTCTTGTTGAAAGGCACTGATGCTCACAGACTAATTATTTATTATTTTATCTGACACTAAATATCTATCTGGAAGGAAAACAAGAGTCCTCTGGTCATATTCATAAAAATAAAGAATCAAGACATTTCAGACTTTGTGTTTATTTATACCAACTTTTAAAGTAAAACTTACAGAAATGCCAATGACTCCGTGAAGGCTCAACATTTAGGTTGTATTTTTTATCATGTGAACTATAGTAACACACAGTAATGTGACTCGGCGTCATGCACAAGTTAAAAAAGCGAACTGTTCCTTTTTTTTTTTTGCACCATATGACTGCTGAAATTCTTATGAAATCTAAAACGAAAAAAAAAAAAAAAACCTTTCACAAGCACCATTTTTGTTTCCAAGGCAAACGTGCGTACATTATAAAAGGAAAAGTCGTGCAACAAATCATTTCTGCAGCTTCAATACATTTAGTAGCATTTGGACTCTGAAGCTTGTGCTTTTCCTGCTACGCAGCCGTTCTAACAAATAAAAAACCCAAGTCATGCAAAATATATAAGAAAACACTGAAGAGAGGGAAAACATAAAACACTATTTGAACACCTAAACAAGTGCTACCAAGCATTTAAAAGTGATGGTGAACCCCAAAGTGCTACAGACCTTTTAATGAGCTAATTGCTTTTAAAGCCAAAGACTGACAGAAATGTTTGAAATAAGTAAATTAGTATAAAAGGTTGACCAAACTTTGCTGTCTCTAAGTGACAAATCAGTTTGATCTTCTTTAGTCGTGAAATTTTCTAAACCTTTAACTACACACTTTTTTTTTTTAAGAAAAACTATTTAAAAATACCCCCTTTCTTGCATAGCTCCTTACAACTACACTCATCCAAGAAAATAATTCAGAATTATCAGCATATAGTATCTCGAACTTTTACATATTGGACTTCTCAAGAGTTTGAGAAATACAATATTTTATGAACAACAGACAACTATTTAGCTTGTACCAGAACACCCATAAGATATTGTTTTTTTAGAATAGTCATAGAGGTTTGATTGATTACAGATTAAATACACATACTGTGTGGAGTACATTGCATATTCTCAGGAATGTTAAATGCCAAATTTCCTTGACATGTTGCTGTAAGATCGTTAAAAATCATTCATGCATATTTCACTGTTCACAGCTGTTAATATAATAACCGTGTTGTACTTTTTGTCTACAGTGCATAGTAAAATAAGTTGAAACTGTGGTGTAAAAGAGGCTATCAGTGAAAATCTCTGGTTAAATCTGAACGTAACAATGAAAAAGTGCATCGGATGACAACTCAATTACTGCAACAAAAACATTCAAAATCAAGTTTATAACTTTGTTAGAAATTATGGCAGACTCGCTTTTTTTTGGCATTACAGTACAGTACCACTGAATTTGGCTTTTAAAACACCCAAATGTGCATTTATTTACACACAACTACCTTAATGTCTATAAAGTATATATATATATAATAAAGTATTCTTTACACACACAGCCAGTTTGTTTTGTTGGTGATGCAACCCAGATCGCCCTGAGGTTTAAAATCCTGCATTATTTCTTTAACTGTTATTTTTTGACAGGTAGTCTCACTGAGACATGAGGACTCATTTTCAAGCGAGACCTGTTGGACTTTTCTGTCATGGAGCAGAACGTCACGTTACAACTTAACCTTGTATATAAATATTAATTCTCTGTACTAAAACTATTTTATTATATATATTGATGAATGATCAAAGTGTGCTCCATGAACGCCTCGTTTACACAATGGCACTGATAATGAGTCCAGACGGTCCCCAGCAGGGACCTTCTGTCCTTATTCGTGTTTCTCTCCTGCTTCGTACAGCTTCCGGAGGCTCGAGTCGAGCAGGAAATCCACCGACCTGTGGAGTACAGACAGTAGAAGGGTTAAACGGAGAAAATGTGATTTTCAAATCAATTTGATCAAACAAAAGCTGTCATGGAACCACTTAAGCTTTAGATGATGCTGTCAAATAAAGCAATAAAATTACAGATTTTAAACATACGATGCCTCAAATTGGGCAAAATGTTATAGAACTACAGTTTAACTTGTTCTTTATATAAATAAAGTGTACGTTTGTAATAGTTTGTCTTTACAGAGAACAACTTTCTGGGTCAAATCTTGGATTTAAGCAGGAGACAAGCACAAGCTGGGCCAACCTGTCTATGGGAGTGATAATGAAGGGGATGGCAGAGAGGCCTATTGCTGTTGTGGTCCATTTGCGAACAGGGAGAGGCAACTTGGTGGTCCTGCCCAGCAGGTAGAGTGACGCAGCACACACACGGTTGATGGTGAAGCCCGGGATGATCACAGAGGCCAGGGCTTGCCACACAAACGTGTCCACCACTGCAACGGCTACCCGTGTTGTCCTCCCTGGGTTGTCCCCGTGGGCCTTGGGGGGAATAGACGGAGAACTATTATAAACTCAGAAAAAGTACAATAGTCTTGTGATGGGATCTGTATTGCTGTTTTTGAAAATACTGTACTTAAGTGTTTAATGTAATCATACACATTACTTAAGGTTTTATTTGCCAAATTTAAAAAAAAACTAGTGAGATTATGATTTTTATGTCTGAGTACCGTATTTTCCGCCGTACAAATCGCACCACCCTATAAGTCGCATCAGTCCAAATATGTCTAATAAAGTGGAAAAATCCATAAAAACGTCTCTTCGCCATATACGTCGCATCTATTATGCATCACTGCTGACGCGTCGCGTTTGTTACGTGTCACCGCTGACAACCCAGAAATGTGGGCCGGTCCGGTGTGCCAAAAATCGATTGGCTGCTAAATGTCAGCCACAGATCCTTCCTGCCTACAGCCATCAGCATCTATAACATCTCTTAAAGAAATGAGGATAATGAGCTACAACAACAAATAATTTCCCTTTGGGCTTAATAAAGTATTTTTGAATTGAATTAAAGGTGTGTCTCAGTTGAACTTTTACTTAATAAATGCACTTTGACGGTCAAATCATCTGTATTTCAAAAGCTGATTCACGGAAGAGGGCATGCACAGAGGGACATGTTCCCGCTCATTTCTTCGAAATTTAACAAGATAAACACCTAAAACAATTATTTGTTTGCTCTAAATTATAGTAAAGGTGTGTCTTGGTTGAACTTTTACTTAATCAATGCACTTTAATGGTTAAATTAGCTGCATTCCACTGGGGCGGCGCAGCTAAATGAAGCTGATTTGACGGTTGCTCCAAGCGAACTGGACAAAAGTGGCAGACTACGGCAAGCTGATTGGGCCATTAATAGCCACTTTTACCTACTACATGACACAACGGCATGCCATACTACTCGAGCGCCATCTAGCGGCTGAAAATGGTAGTGTTCAATATTTTCAGTCAGAATTAATGAAAACGGTCATATCTCAGCCAAAAATTGGTTTATAAACATGTGTAAAAATCCATAAATACATCGCTTCGGCGTATAAGTCGCACAGCATGCAAATTATGCAAAAAAAAAAAAAATGTGACTTATACAGTGAAAAATACGGTATGTAGAACACTTGCGTATATCGTGTACTGGGGTGTACTTTAAGCATGACTGCCCTCACCTGACCCCATTTGTTATATAATAATATTGTATTTACACAACTAACAATACAAACAACACAAACAAATAGAAGTATCTCACCACAGCAGCTTTCCTCCCTTTGTCCACTGCATCAGCAGTAACATACGCAGTGGACACACCATAGGTGGCCCACACCAAACTCACTGGAACCAGAGCCCGAAAGGACTCCCCGACTTCATTAGCATAGCCTGTGGGGTCACACACACATAGATCCAGTTAGGTCCAAAACCTTCTTTGTCTCCACTAAATATTATTTAAATGTTTTTATAAGGCAGCCTGCATTCGGATGCAAAGTCTCACATCTATAAATCATTGACAAAAAAATTATTTTATTGAGCATTAAACATCACATAATGCAAAGCTCATTTTATTCCTCTGGAGTGAACCACAGGACGACAAAATGTTTACTGGTGTGACACTACTTATCAGTAGTCAGTCAGTCTGTCGCAGAGTAAACAACACATTTAAACAGTGGCAAACATTAACCTGTGCCATAATGGAAAAATACCAATTGTTTTGTGAAATGCATGCAATTTTAACATTTTCATACCTAAATTAGATTAGATGTACCGTGCTCTCAGCATTTCTTCTACCAAGCTAAATGTATTACTGAAAAAAATTAATCAAATCTGTAAAGTACACTAAGTTATAATAAAACTGACAAAATAAATGTTTGCATTTCCTGCAGATTCATCCTCTAACAGTGACAATAACCACCAAGGTCTGCGACTGAAATCAGTGTAGAAGAGAATTGCTCTGGAGTTCATGAGGTGATATGATAACAAAGAACGGTAAGAAAAGATTTTCTTCCAGTGACGCATTTAGCTACTGAGAAAATGAGACGTGCAGCTGTAACACCCCACAACTATCTTGTCTGAGCCTCGCAAAGCATGAAGGTAGAGGAAGAAACTGTGTGCATAAAGGGCTAAGAGAAACAGAAATAAGACATCCAGGCAATGAAAAGGAGATGTTTGTGGTTTTCCCAGAACAATAACTGATGACCACACCAGAAACGTGTCAGTGCTCTACAGCAGTAAGTAGACTTCTGAGGTGTCATTTACCAGCAGTGATCTGAGCCTGGTGTAATAAAGCAAAATCATGACACACAAGGCTATTTACAATGGATGTATGTGTTAATGATCGCACAGCTTTTAAAGCCAATTCATGATTCCTGCATACCTATGCACAGACCAGCTAGAACATCAATGCATACACAGATTTGTGATGGAGCACTGAAGGATAGCTGTGCTGATGGAAGAATGGTAATGTTACTCTTCTGCTTGTTTGAATGACGGGTGGGGTGGGGGTTCATCTGTACACAGTCGATCACAGAGGAGACCCGTGCAGACAGGTGCAGCAGAAAGTATGATTTGACCATTAGAATTAAAAATGGACTCAGGTAGAAAAGCAAAACTCTACAACAAAAAAAAGGGGACGAACTAGTTCAGCTGTCCCAATTTTAAGCTGTAAATGCCAATTTGGTTATGTAGGTCATTTCATCACAATGGAAATGTATGTATAGAATACGAACCTGTTAAACTAATTCTGTGGATGATATCACAAAAAAAAAACTAAAAAGAAGTGTTTTGTCATGCAAAAAACTCTTACATGCACTTATTGACATAAATGTTTAAGAAGTGAGAAATCTGACACTGAATAAAACACAAAAAAAGTATTGAAATATATAAAGGTATTACTTTTATTGGATGGAAAGTGACTAAATGCATGCTTAAAAACAACACCGACAACAACAAAAACCCATGATCTGTTCTAAAACATAAGATCAATGTGGTGTCTATTTTTAAACCAAGGGAAACATTGCAAATTAAGCTGAAGCACAGATGAATCAAAGCCTTAATAAAGATTAATATATCTTGTAAAGACAGGATTAAAGCTGAAGCAAACAGATATGAGGATGACTTGAGGATGATTTCATCAGTGCATGGAGGCTGAAACTAGAAGCATAAAGTCAAAGAGCAACTGCTGCAGAATGAATGTCCTTCAGATACCACACAAACTCTTTCCTCTAATTTTTAATATTACAAACTACCAAACGAAAAGGAAATACAACATTGCATTGCATCAGCAAGTCACAGCCGAGTTTCAGTTGGATAATTAACTGAGCTAGTTTTACTGCCTTTACCAAAAGGACAAGCTAGAAGTTTATTTTTGTTGAAGAACGTATTGAAATCAAGCATCTACCCTGCCCATGACTCTTTGTTATTATGCCCTCTGACAACAAAATGCCATTCAACCGCAAACTTTTCTATTTATACGCGGATTAAAGAGAAGTTAGCCACCATGCTAACCATCTGCTAGCTAACGCACATCTCTACCGCTGGGTCGTCGCTCGTGTTGTTACAGGAAAAAAAAAAAAACACCACCACAACAAAAACTGACAACACGTACCTAGAAAGCGGACCCATGTGTCACGATAAATGTCGACCGATTTTCCAGGTGTTTCTTCACTGTGATCCATATTTAACTTTTCTTTATCCATGTGACATTCACACATGCAGAGAGCGGTCAGATATCCGACAGCGAGCGAGGACCGTGAAGGGGGCGTGCTCATCACAACAGCATCCGACTGGCTGCAGGAAAAAAATGATGTTTTTAATCAAATATATAATTTCTGTCTGAACAAGAAAGCGCAGAAGGTTTTCAGTAATATAACAAAACGTAAAACATTTGAAAATACAAAATATTTTAGTCAACAAACACTACATGGCTTCACAATCTAGTCATTCTTTTTGAAAATACAGTAGTCAGTTTTTTATATAATTGATTTTGTAACTGTTGTAAAGTATTTTGAGCTGGATTATAAATTTTATAAAGTAACAAGCCGCTGAAAAAAAAAAAAAACAGAGCTCCGTACAGATTTATAAACGGTGTCAAAGTGTAAAAAATTCGCAAAGATATTTTGTAACTTATCTATGCATCATGTCAGTGCGGTACCCTAACCCGCCAATAACATGCGCGTATTTTGACTGACATACAAAGTAACCAATGGTAATGAGGCATACAACGCATTTGACCAATAGCAGTAGAGCCTATGCTTTTGTAATAGGATGAGTTTTGACCCACGATGGCCGCCGTCGATACTAGCAAGTGCTGCGACTCCAAGGCACCGTTCAGCTTATTTGTCAGAGGAAATATAATGCCTTTAAAACCGTTTTTCACGTTATTTTTTCTTCTTGTAACTATAAACGAGTGTTTTTCCGACGATGACCACGAAATGGAAGAGTTTTTGAAGCGGGAATATTCCCTCTCCAAGCCTTACCAAGGTATCTCATCCGTGCACTGACTCTGACAGGCTGGGGGGGCAGATGTTTCCAGAATAATTATAGCGATCAAACCGCATCTTTGGTCATGTCTGTCATGAAAGTGTTACTTTGGCTTTCAAATTTATCTTTCTTTTCATTAAGTTATGCCTTTGTATTGGGATTAACATGTATAAATAAAGGCTGAATGAATGAAATCTCATATTTGGCTGTTTAATGTGGTTTTAGTAATGACACACCAATCAAAATCCATGATGTCTGTTATTTTTTCACCTTCACCTTGTCACGTCTCTCTTTTGTTTTTTTTTTTTCAAAGTCAGCTTTTTTTGTTAAATGACTGATGTTGAACGAGCTGTGTCAGCTTTTACATTCGCTATGTTTGTGGTTTCAGGTGTGGGATCTTTAGGCTCCTCCCACTGGGAACTGATGGGGGATGCCATGGTAACCACAGACCAGGTGCGACTCACACCTGACATGCAGAGCAGGCAGGGGGCAGTATGGAGCCGCATTGTGAGTATAGAGTACACTGAAAACAAACTGGTACCTTGTCTTTAAGGCTGAACATGTCAAGTGTATTTTTTTTTATTCACTGGTTAAAAAATACTTTTGCATACACAAAATTTGCAAGTATAGTCAGTCAGTGTCTTATTATGAGAGGCACATATTAATCTGCTTAGATTTATGTCAAATTGTAGGCCTACAATTACTTTGCATATGCCCGCTGCCTTTCATGCCAGAGTTTTAGACAAGGATAATTCCAAAGAGTAGTGTTTTCAAGTTGCTACACTATCCTCTGGAAGACGTTAGGGCTCTGAAGTGCTGCACAGGAAGACTGAGGAACAGCTTTTACCCTTCAGCTGTTGTACAACTCAAATCCTGGACCTCTATCCCCCCAGATCTATCATTAATAGCCCTTGTAGCTTGTTTTTCATTTGTCTTAATCTGTAATCAATACAATGCACTTTAATATTCCATGCACTTTAACTACAGATTTTTAAGTTGTAAATAATATATTATCAAGTCAAATTGTGTTTGTTCTAACATTTTAGGCCAAAGCCATGGCCAGTTTCATCTTTGTGCATGAGAGAGAATGAGTGATAAAAGCTTTTTTGGGGGGAGTTGTTTTAAATTTTGTTGTATTGTTTTCTACAAAGCATGACAGCATATCTATCATATTTATTATAATCACCACTGTAAGCATAGTCTTTCATGACACAATGCAAGGCATCAAAAGAGGATTCTCTTGCAAAAGAGATTTTTAATCTCAATGGGATTTTCCTGGTGAAATAAAGGTTAAATAAATAAAATAAAAAGCAAACCCGAACAGCACATTAAAAAAGAACAACCCATTTCCACATTCAGAAACATTGCACAAATATTTTCCACAAGGCTACCCAGCATGCTTTGCAGCTCACACAGTCTCTCTGGGACTCTCTCACAGAGAGAACTTTGGGAGAAAATAAAACAAATAGAGATCATATTTTCTTTAACCTGGGGCCTACAAATGTACATGTTTTTGTGTTAATAATGTTTAATTATAAGTATTAAATTAGCAGAGACACGAGTGAAAGCCTGTGCGCTGTCATGGGTGCGTGCTCTTTCTCTATCTCCCGCTGTGCAGGGAGTTCGGATAAACTGATTATATCAGTGTGCGATCGCCCACGAGCCAGATTAAACAACAACAAACAGATTTATTACTTGGAGCAGCTTTGTAGTTAGATTAAAAAATGGTAAACTACAAATAGAATTGATTGAGTTAATTCATTAAAAATATTAAATTAAGACACGAAGGACACGTTCGACATGCACACATGCTCACTTTCAGTCCAGCTGAGTTCTGCTCCGCCTCTTGGTTCTGCTCAAAGCTCACACCTGAGCGGGACGTGGACCCTTCACCTGTGATTTATGCACAGTTTGAGGAAGAACTGGTCTGTGCAGACATTTCATTTTAAATGAGAACTGGTTCTTAATGGACCCACATGGAGCAGCAACATGTTGGTCGATCAGGGAACATAAAAAACAGTCAACAACTTTTTTTTAATTTTGAAAAGAGTAAAGATTTGGCAAATCAGAGAGGTTGGAATATGTTTTGTGTTAAATAGGAGGTGTAGTGTGCAGTTTTTGTTTTAATATTATTGCACATTAGAATATTGCTACTTTTACTGCAAGGAAATAAATCTTGAAATGTAATTTCTTTAAATTACACTTTTGGGTCACGTTTGGTTACTTGGTTTATTTACATGACTTTAATTGCTGGATGTTCAGCCCATGAGCTGGTGGCTTTCAGTAACTGTGCCCCCCAGAGGAATTTAGTTGAATAGGCGTGCCTTAAAGCATAAATCACCAGGAAATAAAAATAAAGATGAGTTCATGTGTCTGTTCTGGTTAGTCTCTTTTCTTGAGTGGCAGAACAACCTTGTTTGTCAGTTCACCTAAACTCAGCTTTAAAGAATACAAAAAAACATGATGTCCTGTAGAAAGCCTAATTGTGCCTTGAATATGCTTCTTTTTGAAAAGATGTAGCCATTTCATTGACTTCAGTGAACTCTGTCTTTAGCCATGCCATCTGAAGGACTGGGAGATGCAGGTGCACTTTAAGATTCACGGACAAGGAAAGAAGAACCTGAATGGTGATGGGCTGGCCATTTGGTACACTAAGGAACGCATGCAGAAAGGTTAAACTTAGATAAATGTCTATAATTGTTGTGCCTAATGTTGAGTACATCTTTGTGTGATTGTAACATCTGGCGTTTTCAGGTCCTGTATTTGGAAATATGGACAACTTCACTGGCCTGGGCGTTTTTGTGGACACATATCCCAACGAGGAGAAACACATCGAGGTATGCAGTTGCTCTGGTGTGACCGTAACGCACTTGTGAACATAAAGTCAGGCCAAAGAATGGGTGCCACCAATCCTGGCAGTTGTTCTTGCACATTTGTGTTAAAGTTTATGTTCTTTTGTGCAATCGTGTGGAGACAGGCGCAAAAGAAGAGATACACACCTCGCACACAGGTAACCTGGCCCTCCGTTTAACCGACCTTTGACCTTTTCAGCATGTTTCCCCAAAACGTTTAACACCTCTAAAACGTGACATTTTTTGCCCTGCATGTTTTTATGTATGATTTGCTTTCAGATTGACAGAGTGCTTATTAAAATGTTCTCATATAGAAATATGTTGAATATGTTTTTGTACATCATGTACTACACATGTTAAATACAAACATTATAAAATACAGTTAATACGTTTTTAAGGGTCCTAATGGTAGCTAAAATCAATTTAATTTGCTGCATTATAGAAAGTCTAGTTTCTACCTGCAGGTTTGAAAGCTGTGTAAAATGTACATGAAAACAAAATGCATTGAAATGCAAATCATTTCAACCCCACAGAGAAAACAGAACAAAGGCAGGATGGAATACGGTGCTGGACTTGATTTGCGTTGCCCCTGTAATAGTTTGGTTACCTGTCGTGAGCTATTTTCAACTAAATTTAAATTTATTTTTAACTGCATTAAAACATTTGGACTTGGAAATATTTATTATGTTATTGTTAAGCAATCTAGATGTGATAGCAAAATGTTTCAATTCTTGTGAAACAGTGAAACTGACTGACTTTCCATGTGCAAGTCACAATAGTCATCCACAAACTCTAAAGGTTAGAGAGAATACCTACCTACCTACCTATAGAGATAGAGATAGAGATAGATCCATCCATATTGTCTTTACCTGAATTTTCATTTTGGGTCATGGGGGTCACTGTTGCCCATATCCAGCAGTTACTATGCGAGAGGTGGGGGACACCCTGGACAGATTTCAAGTCCATCACAGGGATGCATAGAGACAAACAACCATTCAAACTCTCATTCACATCTAAGGACAATTTAGAGTAACAATTGGCCTAATATATGTTTTGGTCTTTCGGAGGAAACCGAAGTACCCAAAGAAAACCCACATATGCACAGAAAGAACATGCAGACTCTATCCAGAAAGGTCCCTGGCTTCGGGATTCGACCAGCAACCTTCTCGCTTAGAGGCAACAGCTCTACCAACTGAGCCACCGTGCTGCCAATTGGAGAGAATATTGTTGGAAAAAATGGATGCAGTTTTATTTTTTTTAATATATAACACCTCAATTACGAAACTATTCCACTCACAGCAGCAATGCTGGAGGCAGTGCGGCCAAGAGAACACCAGTCACTCTCATATTTTTTGGCAATGTAAAAAAATACAAACCTACTGGGACCAAGTAGTTCTGGTATTGGAAGGTATTCTCGGTTACAAGATTCCTAAGGACCCCTGCACTGTATGGATTTGTTTGAGTGATGTGATACAAAGTGAGCCCTGTGATGGACTTGCGACCTGTCTAGGTTGTACCCCACCTCTCGCATAGTGGCGGCTGCATATAGGCGCCAGTGACACCCACAGCCCTAACAGGAAGAAGTGGGCAAAGATGATGGATGGTACAAAGTGAGGATACCTATGATGTGTATGTATGATGTACCGTCTCAGGACCAATGCTTGGTACTTTGAGCAACAATGGAAAAAAATGGATTGATTACACAAGAAGGAAATGACCTAACCTAAGAGGGACCCCCCAACTTTACTGTTTTTGTATTTTTGTTTTGTAATAAGGCTTTGTACAAAGCTTTAAATAATGTAAAAAGTTAAACAAATAAAATGCTCAAATAATCTGTAGACAGCAAGACTTTTTTTTTGTTTGTTTGTATTTTTGAATGTGACCATTGTGGCATCCTAAAAAAAACAATATTTGTCAAGAATGAGGAGAAAAGCTGCACACAGTTTAGATGAGATGCTTGCTTGGTTTGCATGGCTCTGTAAAATGCTAGAATTAAAAATATTTTCACATAATTAGCATTTTCCTCCTGAAACATCTTTAAATCATCTTTAAATCTCCCCCCATCTCTGCTGCTCCAAGAGGATCTTCCCTTACGTTATCTCCATGGTGGGGAACGGCAGCATCAGCTACGACCACGAGCGTGATGGCCGCCCCACGGAGCTGGGCGGTTGCAATGCCATGGTGCGCAATCTCAAGCACGACACCTTTCTCTTCATTCGATACGTCCGCCACAGGCTCACGGTGAGAAACACCCTCTTTCTGCTCCAGTTTTCGGCTGAGATTACGGTGATTAGCACATGCAGACGCTTCCTCATGTCTCCCACTGTCAAACCCACTATTAGAACAGTCCAGTTTAGCTGAATCAGCCAACATTTTTAAGGATTTTTGGTTTAACTCTAAAAGTCTGTCTGAGCTCTTGATTGAGATAACTGAGATAAATGAGATAACTTTGTAATCTTGCTTTAGGGTCTGTGTTTTTAGGTTGTCCCTAAAAGTGTAACTGACTGTAGTTTCTTAATTGATGAGCAGGTGATGATAGACATTGATGGTCAACATGAGTGGAGAGACTGCCTGGACATACCCGGGGTGAGGCTCCCACTAGGCTATTATTTTGGAGCTTCAGCGATCACTGGAGATCTCTCAGGTAAACAGCTTCTAGTTTGCTAAACGACATCTGGTTAATACTAATAGTCACTGCTAAGTTTCAGACCCTACCAAGATATTTGTAGTTTGGGTCCAGAATCGTATATGATCACTTGTCAAATACAAAATGTTAGTTTTGTTTTTCTTATACACCCTTTGATTGAGGGACGTATTATGGTCCCCATCAGTTTCTCTTATCCCACCCATACCTTCTGATCCATTCAACATCATGTAGTGGAACTTGATACAAATTTGTACCACCACTAAACAGTGTGCCGCATAATCTTTCCATCACCCCAGCTTGATGGTCATGCAAGGTCTTTGCATGTCCGCTCCATTGTTATAGATAGTTGTGTAATAGTTTGTTGATGGGTGTGTAATGTGCCGTATGCATTGCTCTTGTTGCAACTTGTTTCTGTATTTGTGTTGTTTTTTTATTTGTAGATAACCATGATATAATATCACTGAAACTTTACCAACTGACGGTGTTGCGGAGTAAAAAAGAGGAAGAAGAAGAGGAGCATGATGAAATAACCATCCCCAGTGTGGACAACATGGACCTCCTCAGATGTAAGACAAACATTAAAATGTATTTAAATGAACCTCTTATAATCAGTTCATTAACCATGTTTTTCGCCTGTGTTTATCAATTTCATTGCCGTTTGGTTTCTCAGTGGGTCAGAGTGAGGAAGGGATGAGTGGAATATCAATTTTCTTCACCGCGCTCTTCTCCATGCTGGGTTGTATCTTCCTCATCATCATTGGCATTGTGGTCTACAGCCAGTGGAATGAGAGCCGTCGCAAGCGCTTCTACTGAGGAGCTCTACAATGATTGTGATTACTACTGAGGTCCAAAGACCCAACTGCGATAAAAGTGAGACTCTTCCATCAACCGGTGGAGCAGTGGATGTTTTTACCCTGAAGAAAACCTTATTTTGACAGGAGTTAGAGTTTATGTTTCCCCTGCTGCAAAAAGCCATTCTCCAGCTGTGCCATAGGTGAATCAGCTGGAAGACTTTACACCTTGTCCTTAACGCCAGCCTGACGCACATCTACTCAGCCTTACCATCTCCACCTCTGTATTGGTCATGCAGCATCTTTTATGATTCTTATGAGCAGCTATATTTAATTAAGGTTGTTTGTTACTTTGGTAAATGCACAAATATGAATTAAAGTAATCATTTCAGGTTCACTGTTTTTGATTGGTCTGATATTTTCAGAAGTTTTTTGTTGTACTGAACTTCTACCTGGCTAAACTTCCCTTTTTCATTCCTGTGAAGCAGTTTCAAACTTTCTCAAGAAAACTGCCTCAGGACAATGATATTGACCAAACTGCAACACTAGACAAGCAGGTGAGGCCTAATGTGATCTTGCTGTGGCTAATTTTAAATGTTTTGCTGAGTGAAGATTGTTTATGTATATAAACGTAGGACAAACTCAACAGTTTTCTTCCAAAATGTAATTTTATATATGCAGTACGGTCATGGCCAAAAGTTAGGGGCAGTTACACAGTTGTGTTTTATGGCTTCAACGCTTTTAATTGTTTTATTATTTTTTACAGTATACTTAAGAACAAATACAGTTTCAAAAGCTTTCATTAGCAAATACGTCTCACACTTTCCCTTTTTTGTAATTGTATCAGTTTGCTCTGGCAAAATGGATCACAGCATCTGGTCCAAATCCTGACCTATGGTGGATCATGTTTGTCCTATCAGCGTTTGGAGTTGATCAGTTTGTTGGCTTCTGGTAATCTACCTGCTTATTGAGAACTAACCAGAGGTTCTTAATGCGGTTCATTAAGTGGTTTACTTTATTGCCATTGCTCCAAAACTTCAAGTTTATAATTACCAGTATCTTAAAACCACTTGGTATCTTTTTTTCCTTGTGGCGTTACTCCACTATATTATAAAATACACATATCTTCACCTGATTGTGCCTGGATTGTTGGGAGATGTTTTGCTTCCACTAAGCAACTCGACACATGATCATGTCTGCCTCACTGTTGGCCTAACGGTGACTCAGTAGCGCTCACTTTCCTCTCTGGACAGATGATTTTTCCCAGTATCCTAAACAATCAAAAGAGGATTCGTCAGATAAGATGACTTTGCATCAATCTCTTGCTGTTCAGCCTGCAGAAGTGTTATCTTCTCGATGTTTTTTTGGACAGAAGTGGCTTCTTTGATGCCGTTTTTATCACAAGGTTGCTCAAATTAAGTTTGCTGCCAATGCTGAGCTCTGTTCTAGTGACAAGATGATTCTCTAGTGCTTTCCTTTGGAGGAAATTGCCATGAAGCTTGAACACTTCCTGCAGCCTTCTTCGCTACAACCGAACCTTTCACTTTGAATTTTCTCATTTAGAAAACTGTTCTTTTAGGTGCAATATCCTTGGCCAATTCTTTGCATATGAAGCCATTTTGATGCAAAGCAAAGATGGCTGCACACTTTCCTTTGGAGGTAACCATTGCTTAAACAATCTTTGTGTCACTGTCAAGACTATTTGCAAGTATCGTATGTATAACACTAAAACTTGCATTCCTCAAATAAATGCATAAGACTCGCCACCTCGCATGGTAAAGTAAACAAAAAAATCTCATGATCATTTATCTTTCAAACTTTGTGATGGGGATGACTCTCAGCTACTGCCACGCCAAATTTCAACTCAATATTTGTAAGATTCCCTGAGATAAAGCAATTTTATCATTCATTACTATGAAATGGTGAGCAATAATCAAGGATAAATTAACTTAGTCATCAAAAGTAATTATGATTTAAAAAAAAATAAAAATCCTTAACTTTGATCGCCAAACTGACTTGTTTCTTTTGTTGCATGTCAAAACAGATCCTCTGGCTCTTTGTTGAATGTGTCATGCGTCCTTGAAGTGAACCTAACGCAGAGACAGGTGTGGCGCCTCTTACCCATTATTACATATTTTGTAAGTCTTTGCAAAGTTCATGTAAACATCATATCTCATATTTACATGATTATGTTTTTGCAGTTTATATGAACTTCCTATAGCCACTATGATGTTTCACCTTATTTATATTATATTTTGTATGAAACCTGTGTGTCGTGCTTTTATTCAGTGACCACGAATTACACGTTTTGAACGCAACAATGGTTTCTTGTGTTTTTGTCCTTAGCTTTTCTAACTCGCTGCTTAAACCATGAGATTTGGGAGTTAAAAGTGTTGTATGTGTCATGCTACCACACAAGTTACACAATGTGACATTCATTAGATCTATCAGAATGGAACCAAATAACTCCATTCTCAACCATGAAGGACATATTTGTGTGGGAGGGATTGAATGGTGGAAAAAATGCACCACCATTTCACAGTAAACTGAATCTTTGAGGATTTGTTGTAAACAGGACTTTTAATTTACTTTTCCACAAATCCATCTAGTCTTTAGAGTTTTACTGATGAGCCACACCTCCACTGTTACTCTAGCTTTTCTTACAAACTAAAAATAACTAATTTTGTTTTTGCATTCAGTCATTATGTGGATATTTTTCTTTTATCACGTTTCAGAGTACTAAGCAGCTGCTTTCTTTTGGGGAAAAAAATTGTTACAAAAACACTGTTAAATAATAATTGAAGGCCTGCCATTACCTGAAAGAATGCATATTACCCACTCCTTTTCATGCCAGAGTTGCCTTTCTTTTCTTTCGGCTTTTCCATCTTCAGGGTTATCCACAGCGAGTTATCCTCCTCCATCTCACTCTGTCCTCTGCATCCTCTGTCCTTACTCCAACTACCTCCATGTCCTCTCTAACTGCATCCATATATCTCCTCTTTGGCCTTTCTTTTTGTCTTTTTCCTGGCAGCTGCATTTCTAACATCCTTCCACCACTGTCCCTCCTCTGGACATGTCCAAACCATCTCAGTCTGGCCTCCCTAACTTTATCTCCCAGTTGTGCAACCTGTGCTGTACCTCTGATGATCTCATTCCTAATCTTATCCATCCTTGTCACTCCTAAGGAGAACCTCAACATCTTCATTTCTGCCACTTCCATTTTTTTTCTGTCTTTTTGTCCATGTCTCTGTCTCCAGACCATACAACATAGCTTCATAGCTTTTTAAGCTCCATGTGGAAAACTTGGTACAGAAACTGAAAGTTAAACTTGGTTTCTTTTTCAGAAACAGATCCTGTCTAACCCTGAATGCTAGGAAACACCTTGTATCTGTGACTTTCCTTCCCTCCATTGATTACGGTGACATTATTTACATGAACGCTCCTACAAGAACCCTGCAGATGTTGGATGCTGTCTATCATGGTGCACTAAGATTCATAACTGGCTGTGATTATCGTACCCACCACTGCACCCTGTATTCACTGGTTAACTGGACATCATTAACTTCACGCAGACTCTCTCACTGGTACATTTTCATCTTTAAATCACTTCTTGGTCTGCTGCCTTCATACATCTCCTCCTACATGTCTCTGCGTGAGTGCAGCTACAGCGTGCGCTCTCAGGACATTATTACCTGCAGTGTTCCCTCAGTGAGGACTAAACTAGGCAAGAGGGTCTTCTCCTACTCCGCTCCTGTTTCCTGGAATACCTTACAAAAACATGTGAAGCTCTCGACCTTGACCTCTCTAAGTGGCTTTAAGAATCTGTTGGACTCCTGGCAGGGACCAATGCAGACATGTTCCTGTTTTTAGTTTTTTACATTCGCCTTAGAATCTAGCTGTTTGGTTTTTTTTTTTGTTACCTTTGTTTTTTTTAAGCCATCCTATTTGTTTAAATACATTAAAAAAAACTGGAGAATGACTTTTTATAACTGTTTATTGTTGTCGCTGTTGTCCATTGTTGTCATCATTCTTTGTTGAAATCAGGTCTCTCTTGTAAATGAGTCCTCGAGGCTCAATGGGATTTACCTGTCTAAACAAAGGTTGAATGAACAAGGCAACAAACAACCTCAATCTGCTCCTGATCCGTGCAGGTGAGTGACACATGAATAGCTGGTCTCACCACTGTCTTGTAAACTTTTCTTTTGACCTTTGCCAACACTCTTGTCACAAATCACTCCTGACACTTTTCTCCACTCCATCCTGTCTGGACTCTTTCACTTCTTTACCACACTCCCCACATTTTCCTGGACAGTGGACCCCAAGTACTTGGAAGTCCTGTACCTCACTGTTCCACCAGCCTCCCTCTCATTCACACACATGTACTCTGTCTTACTATGGTTGAATTTCATTCCTCTTTTTTCAAGTGCATACCTCCACCTCTCCAAGTTCTCTTCCACCTGTTACCTGTTCTCACCACAGATCACAATGGCATCTGCAAACATCATAGTCCATGGGGATTCCTGCCTGACCTCATCTGTTAGTCGGTCCATCACCAGAGCGAACAAGAAGGGGCTCAGAGCTGATCCTTGATGCATTCCCACCTCCACCTTGAAGCTATCTGTCACTTCTACAGCACATCTCACCACTGTCCTGCTGTCCTCATACATGTCCTGTACTGGTCTAACATACTTCTCTGCCACTCCAGATTTCCTCATGCAATATCACACCTCCCTCAGCACCGTCATATGCTTTTTCTAAATCCACAAAGACACAATGAAGTTCTTTCTGACCCTCTCTGTACTTCTCCATCAGCATCCTCAAAGCAAATATGGCATCTGTGGTTCTCCTTCTTGGCATGAAACCATCCTGCTGCTCACAGATAGTCACCTCTCGTCTAAGTCTAGCTTTCACAACCCTCTCTCAGATCTTCATCGGGTGGCTCAACTGAATTACCCTATAGTTGCTACAACTCTGCACATTGCCCTTGTTCTCAAAAATGGGCACTAGCGTCTCCATTTCTTAGGCATTTTCTCACCCTCAAAATGTCATTGAATATTTGGGTCAAAAACCTCACTGCCATCTCTCCAAGACATTTCCAAATCTCCACTGGCATGTCATCAGGTCCTACTGCCTTCTCCTTCTTCATTGTTTTCAGTTTTCTGAACTTCACCCTCACTAATCTTGACCACTCACTTCATGGTCCACAGTTTCTGGCCTCTACTCTTCTGTTTCTTTCATCTTCATTCATTAGCTCCTCAAAGTAAAGATAGTCTT